TCCCGTTCGCACGGTTTGTCCACTGCTGGTGTTTGCGCGATCGGTTCAGTTACGGCAACACCGACTATACTCTCCGTAGTTGCAGTGTTGAATATTGCGATGTCCTTCCCAGACCGGGCTGCCTGCTGAGTTTCTGGGAGCAGCGGCGGCGTGGGCTTGAGCGCTTCGGGCGGTCGGAGCCGCTTTGAGGAGCAGACGCACCCAATGGCTCGCAGATGGCTCGCACTCGCCCTGCTTCTCCCTGCCTCGGCGCTGCGCTGCGACACGGGGCCGAAACCGTCGCCGCCGGCGCGCGTCGCGTGCGCCGCGGCCGTCGGGGCCATCAGCGTCACCGTCGAGGCCGCCGGCGACGACGCGGACTACGCGAGCATCGAGCTCTTCCGCGGCGACGAGACGCTGCCGCGCGTCCACTACACGACCCCCTTCGGCGCCGCGGCCGCCGTGCCCGCGGACGGCCCGTACCGCGTCGCGGCCCGCGCGCACCTCCGGGGCTGCGCGGAGGACGGCGGCAACTACACGTTTTCCACGCTCACCTTCGCCGCGGCGCCCTGCGCGCCCGCGTCGGGTCGCGGAGCGCGAGCGTCCGACTCGTCGACGTATCGCGAAATGCTGCGCATGACGGAGTGGGGCCGCGCGCTGCCCGACTCGTCGACGTATCGCGAGATGCTGCGCATGACGGAGTGGGGCCGGACGCTGCCCGACTTCCTCGACAACCACGACGCGGGCGACCGCGGCGGCCTCGGCGTCACGACGTCGCTCTTCGTGGGGGTCGGGAACGCGACGGAGGCGCGCCGCCGGGGCCTGCCGCTCCGGCGGTCGCCCGTCGGCTCGAGCCTGAGCAGCGACCTCTGGACGCGCTACTGCGTCGAGATCGAGGCCGCCGTCGTCGAGAACACGACGACGACGACGTTCCGCGGCGCGCCCGCGCCGTCGCCCTTTTCGGACTACCGGTCGACGAACCCGCTCTGGTCCATGCGCGACATGCTCGGGTGGATGACGTGGCTGCCGCGGCCGGCGAAGAACTGGGAGCACATGCTCGCGGCCTTCGTCGAGACGCCCGGGGCCGAGTACGCGAGCGCGTGCGTCGTGTCCACGGACCGCTACATCGGCCAGCTCTCGCGCGGCAACATCCTCGCCGCGGACTGCGCGACGGACATGTTCTCCGACCGCTACATGCTCTGCGACTGCAGCGACGCGTCGGCGGCCGCGAGCCTGCGGCGCGTCGGGATGATGCCCATCGGGACGCCCCTCTACGACCTGCCCCTCATCCCCGGCGTCTACCCCGACGCGAACGCGAGCGCGGAGCCCGCGGGCCACTGGTTCTCCTTCCCGGCCGGCGGCCGCTGCGCGCGCGGCGCCGCGATCGGCGACGACGGCTGCACGTGGCAGCGGTCGCCCCTGGCCCACTCGTTCCACCTCTCGGACCTGCTGGCGGCGGGCTTCAACCAGAGCGCGGAGAAGTGGGTCTTCGACTCGCCCATCGGCCCCGTCTACTTCCCCAACGCGCACCAGCCCCTCGAGAAGACGCTCCAGAACGCGGCGGCCTTTTCGCGCGTCGTCGCGGCGCTGCCGCCCTGCGGGTAAGTTCGGAAACACAGACTATACAGGTGGGACAGGGGGCTCGTCACTGCTCGAGCTTCGGGGGCTCCGGCGCGTAGGGCTCGAAGAGGCGCTTGATGTCGCCGAGGCGCGCCTTGCGGACCTCGTCGGCGCTGAGCCGCGCGAGCGCGCCCGCGGACACCAGCGTCTTGGCCTGCTGGATGTCGAGGATGCGAGATTCCACGGTCTTGTCCGCGACGAGGCGCACGGCCGTCACGGGCCGCGTCTGGCCGAGGCGGTGCACGCGGTCCATGGCCTGCTCCTCGACGGCCGCGTTCCACCACGTGTCGAGCAGGAAGACGTGGTTCGCGCGCGTGAGGTTGAGGCCCGTGCCGCCGCACTTGAGCGACACGAGGAGCACGCGCGGCCCGCCGTCGCCCGCAAAGTCCGCGAGGAGCGCGGCGCGCTTCGCCGCCGACAGCGACCCGGAGAAGACGCGCGCGTCGACCTCGGCGTCGTCGAGCGCGGCCTTCGCGTTGGCGAGGACGCCGACGAACTGGCTGAAGACGACGACCTTTTCGTCCGCGGGCACGGCGGCGACGGCCTCGAGCAGCGCGCGGATCTTCGGCCCCGTCGACGTCGCGTCGGACGTCGACGCGGCCGCCGCGTCGACGGGCGCCGCCGCGGCCGCGGACGCCTCCGAGGGGGAGACGAGGTCCGCCTTGACGAAGGGCGCGCGGCAGAGCGGGCAGCCGGAGGAAGCGTACGACGTCGCGAGTTTCTCGGAGCAGACGTCGCAGAAGTGGTGGCCGCAGCCTCGGAGGAGCTTGGCGCGCGCGGCGGGCACGTCGTCGAGGCAGACGGCGCACTCGAAGGTGCCCTCGTCGGACGCCGCCTGGTCCTGGGACAGCGCCTCGCGGAGCTTCGCGAGGAGCTTGTCCGCGGCGTCCTTTGTGAGCGCCCGGCCCCCGCCGCCGACGGACTGGAGCGCGGCGCGCGCGGCGGCGAGCCTCGGCGCGGGCACGAGCGACGCGCCGCCCGCGCAGACCTGGCGCAGGCGGAGCAGGCACTCCAGAATCGAAGAATACGATTTGAGCGCATCGTCGCCGAGGCCCTCGACGGCGCAGCGCGCCGTGTCGAAGAGCGCGGCGTAGGCGTCGCGGTCGCCGCCGAGGTCGACGAAGCGCGTCACCGTCTTCCGCGGCGGCAGCGTCGACGCGAGGAGCTTCTTGGACCGGCGGAGCGTGACGCTCGTGACGAGCAGCCGGAGCCGCGCGAGGCCCGACGCGTCGCCCTCCTTGATGGGCCGCGCGACGGCGCGCGCGAAGACCGCGGGATCGTCGACCGGCGCGCAGCGCACGAAGGAGAAGACGGCCTGGAAGTCCTCGACCTTGTTGATCATGGGCGTGCCCGTCACGCACCAGGAGTGGACGCGGTCGAGGCGCGCGACGGCCTTGGCCGTCTTCGTCCGCGGGTTCCGGATCGTGTGCGCCTCGTCCAGGACGACGCGGCGCCAGGAGGCCGTGTACAGACCGGAGAGCTTGCGCTTCCCCGACGCGTCGTCGGGCGCCTCGGCGACGAGCACGCCGTAGGACGTGACGACGACGTCGTAGGCCGCCGCGTCGAGCGCGCCGCGGTCGCCGCCGTGGTAGACGAGGACCTTGAGCCCCGGCGCGTGCGCCTTCGCCTGCTCCGACCAGTTGCTGAGCACGGACGTCGGCGCGACGACGAGCGTCGGCCCGCGCGCCTTCGTCGGCGGCGCCGGCGGCGCGGCGCCCGGCCGCCGGCAGGCGACGTAGCGCTCGACGAGCGCGCCCTTGAGGCCCGCGGTCTCGCGGCCGAGGCCCTCGAGCGCCGACCGGAGCTCGCCGACCTTCAGTTTCTTCGCGCGCTTGAACTCCGCGTCCTCGTCCCACTCCGCCGCCGGCGCCGGGGGCGGCGCGGATCCCGCGAGGAGCGCCGCGTCGCGCGCGACGACGAGCGCGAGAATCGACAGCGTCTTGCCCAGGCCCATGTCGTCCGCGAGGAGGCCGCCGCGCACCGCCGCGGGCCGCTGGGGCTGGGAGGTGTTGGTCGCGCTGTTGAAGTAGACCGCGCGCTGCTTCTCGTTCCGCGCCTCCCAGAGCGGCGGCAGCGGCGGCGTCTTCGCGTCGTCGCCGCCGCCGAGGGCCTTGGCCGCGTCCTCGAGGTCGTGGCCCGACTCGCGCGCGGCCATGAAGGCGACGGCCTTGAGCTGGTGCGGGAGCAGCTCCGTCGCCAGCGCGCCCTGGAGCGCCGCGGCGAAGGGCGCGGCGTCCATCTTCTCGAGCGCCGCGGCCATGCTGTCGTAGACGGCGTCGAGCTCCTTCTGCGTCTGCCGCGCGGCGGCCTCGACGGAGCGGACGACGTTCGACGGCGCGCGCGGGCCCTGGGACGGCGCCTGCCGCGTCGCCGCGAGGCCGCCGGACAGCCGCATGCCGAAGCGGCCGAGGTGCGCGGCCGTCGCCGCGAAATGCTCGGGCAGGCCGTGGAACCGCGCGGCCGCGGCGACCTGGTACATGGACGACGGCGCCTGGGGCACGACGGCCTCGACGGCGACGGCCGCGGGCGACGGGTCGTCGACGAGCGGCGCGAGCGCCGCCGCGAAGACGCGCTTCAGGTGGCCGACCTGGTCGCCCGCGAGGTTGTCGACGCGGACCGCGTTGCCGTCGTAGGGGTTCGCCGGCTCGCGGACGAGGTTCGCCATCTCGCCGCGGTGGATGACGCCGCCGTAGTACTGGCAGCCCACAATCATGACGCCGCACTCGCCGTAGAACGCGTCGTGCTCCTCGCGGTATTGCTCGTCGACGGGCGCGCCGTCCGCGGCCGTCGACGGCAGCCGCGCCCAGCCGCCGGCCGTCTGCGTGCTGGCGACGACGGCGGCCTGGGCCGCGACGGCCGCGCCGCCGCCGCCGCGCCGCGCGGCGACGGCCGCCTTCATCGCCGCCTGGTCCGACTCGCGGAGGCGGCCATAGCCCGAGATCGTCGTCGCCGACGCGCCGCTCCGGAAGCCGTAGCAGCCGAGGTGGAACCAGCGCATGTAGGGGCCCCAGTCGCCCTCGGCCTCGTCGCCGACGCGCACCGTGCCGTTGCCGATGGCCATGGAGCAGCCGCGGCACTTGGCCCGCCCCGACGCAGCGTACTCGACGCGGGGCATGGTGCTCAAATCGCGCCGCCCAGAGTTACCGCGTCAGCACCTTTTGAAGCCGCCAGCTACGTGACCCGGAGACGTCGCGACCTCGCCGCGGCGCTCGGGACGCCGGACACAGACAAAAGCCCGCGCCAAACTCAACAAAACTCCCGCGAGCACGAGTCGAAACCCAGCCGAAGTTTCCGCCAAGGTTCCGACGCATTTTGGGGGCTGCAGCTAAAGCAGTTGCCAGCGCGCGCCGAAAAATGGCGTCCGACGACGATGGTCCGGCACGAACGCTGGCCTTCGTCTTCGGCCCCGTCGGCTGGCAGCGCGAGAACATGGGCCGCGCGCTGTACGACCAGGGCGGCGTCTTCCGCGACGTCTTCGACGAGGTCGCCCGCGAGTGCTGGCCGACGCTGCCCGTGGCGCTCGGCGACGTCGTCTACCCGGTCACGGGCGCGTCGGCGCTGGACCTGAGCGGCATGATCGACTCGACGTTCTACGCGCAGACGTCGCTCTACGCCGTCGAGGTCGCGCTCGACGCGCTCCACCGGTCGCGCGGCGTCGAGCCCGCCGCGTGCGCCGGGCACAGCATCGGCGAATTCTCCGCGGCCGCGTCCGGCGCGCCGCCCGCCGGCGACGGCGACGCGCCGGCGCCCGAATCGAGTGTCGCGCGGGCCCTCACCGTC